TCAGTCCCATGGCAGGGCCTAAAGCCCAACTGAAATGGTTCTAGGCTGTTGGTGTCATCCAAGAATGCCTGCAACTGTCCAGCTAGCACCCTCTCAACCAGTTTGTCCATGAAAGGGATATTGGCGATAGTCATTTAGGACAGTAGTTGTTTAGGTTGTCCGATGGAAGAGTCACCTTTTTCAGGATGGGCCTTAATCGAATGACCCTTTGAGACTGTCTGTCTTTGTGGCTTGAGTTTTACATGGAGCTGTCCACGGTGCTAGCCATTATCCTTGACCTTGCCTTGTCAGAAATTGGCCCTTGCTTTGCTAGTGGTTTCCTAATTGGATCTTGAACTTTTCTTTGCTTGATGTTGCCTCATCAAAGCCTGATCATTAATTTGCATTGCATTGCCTCCCTTCGCATGTATCCAATAGTTTGTTTGGGTTTTTTTGCTTGGGCTGCATTCCCATTTATTTAAGACCATTGAGATAGTGTGAGTCTTTGCACATGCATGCCTACATTCATGTATTGTTTCAGAGGCCCTACCTCCGCAGTCATCACAATGACAAACAGTTTGTTCATTCTGTAATGTATACCGTAAGAAAAATTCAGGCAACATAAAGGGAATTGTAATTACACTTAGTGACTGTGAGGCCTAGTGAGGATGGCATTAATTGCGAGATAGACAATACTCAAGAGCAGCACTCTGAGTAGGAATGGAGCAGCCAGTCCAAATGGTCCAACATAAGCCTACCAGATGACAGGAAGTTCTCATTTCACATGAGATTTCTGATTTCTGAAGGTCAACGAAAAAGTGCCAAGAACAATTGGGTTATCATTGTTTGACCACACCTCATGTTATATAACTATTTTCTCTTGATTATTCCTTTTTGGCTGAAATCCCAATACTTAGTGTTGTCAGCTGCACAAAATTAGGCCCACTGAATCACTGGGAACCTCCATACGTAAGTTCCATTTATTCCAATCGGCTTACTCTAGTGGCAGCTTACTGTAGTATACTGATTTAGTAAGCCTGCTCTAATGTAATTTGCTACACAAAGAACAGGGTTTTTGTCATTATTTCAGTTGTACAGAAAGCCTTTTTAGGTTCTGTAGGATTAATTTAATTAAGATTCATTTCAGAAACACATTTTATCTCTGCTTCTGACTTATATTTTTAAATGTATTTTATCTGACCTTTTAGACTAAGAAATCAGGGTTGGGTGGGGAGAGTCTTTGTTACAGCCTCAGGGCAAACATTCTTAAATCTTGCTATTGTGAACGTTTGTTTTTATTGGGTGCATTTGCAATTGGATAAAGGCAATAAATTTGGCAGATTAAAAGAACAATTTTATTCTGAACACCCTCCAAAAGTTAAAAAAAAAACAAAACAAAATATATGGATATGGCTTAGCTTATGATATTTGCTCACAGGCAAGTAACCAACAGGAAGCTATCCCTAAAGTCTGTTCTAGGTCTTGCTTCTGTCTAATACAAGATTTAAAATTTGGAAACCATAGGCCTTAAATTAAATTAAATTCTCACCACGAACACATTTTCCAAACAATTTCTGCCAAAGAAACATCCCACCATATAGTGTAATGATAATGCAAAAATGTGTTGACATTAAGGGGGCTAGAAATAGATAGAAGCATCTTCTGCTATCAGAAATGCTCTTATGCTGGCAGCATCATCTTGTTCCAGCAGATCTCAGGTAACTGCTCTGTTGGGCTAATATCTGCTGGCTGAAGGACAAAAATAAAAAGGGACAATATAACTGAGGAGTGTTGTTGTTAGATCCAATATTCATCCATCTCAAGGATGTGGATGCTGTATCAGTGCAACTCTAGGTATGGGTGAGGGTAGGCGTTAAAAAAAAAACTCCAACACCTCTAGGTTGGGAAAGGTTTGGATGCAGTATAGATTCAACTGGTCAAATGTCTGTTCAGCTGGTCCTTGGACACCTTGGCCAGTTGGGATTGGGTTCCTGATCTTTAGGGAATGGCCACCAGAACAGTTGGCATCAGAAATAATTCCATTTGAAAATTAAAGGAGGTTCACTCCTGGCTAACATACAAGTTGCTACTAAAAGGCATTAGTAAGAATTAAGACTTGTTAGTGCTATTAGGAAGATTGATTCCATCCAGGTGATTATGAGTTTCCTGCTGGTCTGAAGCTTCAGAATGGCACAGCCCCACCTTTTGTGGAGTTTGACCTTTGCACTAAAGAGAGCAGACAGTCCGAAGGAGGTGAAGACAACAAGGGGACATTCATCAGGGAATAGTAAAATCACAGCAGGTTCCCCACAGAAAAATCTAAGACAGATGTCGATCTGAGTTCTACTTGTTACCACTTGGCTATAAAACCCAGAACACTGTGTTTAAGGCCTCTTTAACCAGTCACAAGTGAACAATTACTTTTGTATTTTTCTTGTTATTTCTTTTTCCAGGGTTTGAACTGTCCCGTTTGAATGGCGTCAGATGCCAAGAATATTTTCTTATGGAGCATAGTGGAAGGCAGTGGCGGACAGGGGGGGAGGAAGAGTTTTTGCTATTTTTTGTTTGCACTCTAAACCCACAATGATTGTGGGAAGCAACAACATCAGAAAGTAACCCTGTAATCACTTGGAGTCTGTGCTGGTTGTTTTTTCTTTCTTGAATCGGCTTTTGTTTCCTGAGTTTGCTTATTCTAATTAACTTGAGTCATACAGCCAAGAGAACTTTTAAGCAAGAGTTCTTAAACCTGGTCACAAAATGCCTCTGGCCCAAATCTTGTTAGTTACACCTGCTGGTGTAATGCAGGTAGAACAAATCTTGGCAGCCAGTTGCTGAAAGTTAAGAAGTCAAGATTGGCATTTGCTGTTGAACGCGAAGTTTTGCAGCCCAGCACACAAAGCAAATCTCTATGCTGACTTCTTGTGGCAGTTCCAAATGATATTCATGCCAGTTGTTTTCTGCTGACATCAGAACATAATAGGGTGTTGGCTTTTATTTCCTAAGGACATAACTGTTTGAGCATCTCCAGATTTGGAGGTTATCTCCAGGGTATCTTCTATGATATTCCTTACTGATACATGAATATACTGTACTGGGAAAAGTAGCATCCATTGACTTTATGCCTGCTTTACAGCTGTTAAAGGCACAATCTCTTGCTACACCGAGCAATCTTTAAGCTGAACATAAAGCCATGCAACATATTAATATTAACATATTAATATTAGAATTTGTGATCTTGAAAATATAATTGACTGCATCTCCCTCTATGAGCCTGCCTAAGAATTAAAATCATCAGGGAAGGCTTTTCCCTTGGCCCCACTACCCTCATAGGCATGGTTCTCTCTTGCTGCTCCCAGACTCTGGAACTGCCTCCCACAGGAAACCAGGCTGGCCCTATCTTTGCTGTCTTTCCACGAGTGGAGACCTTTCTCTTCAGGCAGAATTTTCCTGACTATCCGAGAGGGTTTTTTAAAATGGATTGTTATGCACTGTTTTTAAATGTGTTTTTAGTATTGATTTTATGTACCATTTTTTATGTAATACCTGTTTGATTCTTTTTGAATATTTGTATTGTGTTGATTCTATGTACCATTTTTTATGTAAGACCTGTTTGATTCTTTTTGAATATTTGTATACTTAATGTTTTAAACTTTTAAATATTGTATTTTATAGTGATGTAAGCCACCTTGGCTCCTTTTAAGGAGAAAAGTGTGTGTGTGGAGGGTTAAAAACAAACAAATGCATTACTACAATAGCTTAACTGGCTATCAGTCCATTTCTGGGAACAATTCAAATTGTTGAATTACAAAGCCTTATACAGCTCATATTCAGGGTGTCTGAAATGCCACAGCTCTTAAGATCTTCAGGAGAAGTCTTTCTCTTGGTACCATCATCCTCACAGAATCGTTGGGTGAGGAATTCAGAGAGGATCTTCTCAGTGGCTGCTCCCAGGTTATGGAACTTCCTAAGCCTCACCCACTGCTACTATCCTTTTGACAGAGTTAAAAAATTTTTATTAGACAGGCCTTTGGCCACTGATTGGTGAGAAAGGGCCTTTTAACGGTGGGCTATGTTGGTCTATTTCTTGTTGTGTTTTTTTTTAAGTTTTAAAAACAATGTTATCTGATGGTTGTTGTGGCTTTTCCAGGCTGCTTGACTGTTCTTAAGGTTTTTCTTCCTAACATTTCGCCAGTTTCTGTGGCCGGCATGTTCAGAGGACAAGAGTCAGAACTCTTATCTGTGCTCTGGTGCAGTTTGTTTGGATAATGTTATAATCTATTTAATACTATAATTTGTTGTATTTTCAAGATACATCTCTTTCTTAAAATCTCTGTTGTATGCTTCTTTGAATGCTGCAAGGGACACAGTCAGGGTTTACATCAAGACAGATCAAATCACATCTCCCCACTCTTCCCACCACAAATGGCTGTCTCAGTGAAGATACAACCTATGTCATATTGGAACATATTTGTTATGTGGGATGAAATTGTCTGAGTGTGCTCTTTATCTTTTTATAACAAGCTGATTAGTAATGTTGTTTATCAGTAAAAGGTTGTGAAGGGTTTTTTTTTTGCCATCATTCAACTGATTACAGACAACTCTTTTGTGTTACAACTTTTGGGAATTATTTTTATGTCAATGTTATATACTGTATGGCATTCAATCTGCAGAAATTCATCTGCAGAGCTAGAAATAATTCAGATGACTTTTTTTCCTGATTAAGGCTACAGCTCTGTTCATTTTTGGCTGCTTTATCTCCAGTCCTTCAGCGTGATGTAGTTGGCACTTTTGGTTTCCTGTCATTAACTTTTGTAGCAGGTCGGATTTTTAAAAATGGCATGAAGGAAAGTGTTAGTTTAATCGTTTTTAAGTTAACATTGTTTTTCTCTGCAGTGCATACCTTGCTTAATAAAACTTGTTACTTCACACATGAATCTTTTCTTAAATAAATCCCCCAGTGCAAGATCTACACTGATCATCAGAAAACAACATCACTGTATTTTGTCTTTTCTTTTCGGCAGGCACTAAGCAGCAGTCTATACAAGAGTGCCTCTCCATACGGTTCCCTTAATAACATAGTAGATGGCTTGAGTTCCCTCACTGAACACTTCTCAGACCTATCCCTCTCGTCAGAAGCTAGAAAGCCCAGCAAGAGACCACCGCCCAACTACCTGTGCCATCTTTGCTTTAACAAGGGACACTACATCAAGGACTGTCCACAGGTAAGGACAAAGAAGTATTCACCTTGGTATGTTTGCTGTGACACCCACTGTGAAAGAGGCTGAGTGCTACTTTCCTTTCAAAAGAGAGCTGATGTGATCACAGAGTTTGTCAACTTCAATGACACAAAGGTGGGATGATGGTGAAGAAGCGATGTTGGTATCTTACTTATTCTTTTAAAAAAAAGGCCAATGGACCAATCTTTGAGAACATGTCATACAACGGCTTTGTGATTTTTCCACTTCAGAGATCCCATCAGATCAATTTCCATGCTTTTTACTAAATGAATTTCCATGATCTTATAGCGGTGGCTATCGAAGGGAGCCTGCTATTTAAAACAACCAATAGGTTCTACACAGAAAACAGAGTTTGTCAACTTCAATGACACAAAGGTGGGATGGCCAATGGACCAATCTTTGAGAACATGTCATACAACGGCTTTGTGATTTTTCCACTTCAGAGATCCCATCAGATCAATTTCCATGCTTTTTACTAAATGAATTTCCATGATCTTATAGCGGTGGCTATCGAAGGGAGCCTGCTATTTAAAACAACCAATAGGTTCTACACAGAAAACACCAAGAGAGCAGAAAATGCACCACCCTATTGGAATATTGAGAATCAGGCCTTTCTTTGTAAATGCTAACTCCTGGAAATACATTCTTCTGCAATGGCCAGAGTACTCCTTGAGACCATAAAGATGGGATTCTTGTGTTAAAATGAATGAGGTTGGGGGTTGAAAGAGACAAATGGTTTGTTAAAATGAAAGAAAACACATTCATCTAATGTTCTTTTCTGTTTCCCTCTTCCTTTTAACCTTTCTTTGACCCGCTGCATGTAAAATATTATGGGGAGTTTTTAACTGAATAGTTTCTCAAAGGCTACTGGCAGCAGCTAATCAAAATGATCAGGAGCAGTAAGTGGGAATACTGAATCAGTAAAAGCATCTGGAGATTGACTGGAAGCCAGTGAGGGAAGTGTCTGCTTCAGTTGTCTTGTGAGAATCTGTTTTCTAGCTCCTGGTGCCCTACATCTTGTACTCTGCCTGCCTGGCTGCTGACTCAGAAGACAAGGCATTAAGTGCACGTGGAAAAGGGGCAATCTCCCTATATTCTATTCTGCTTGGTGAGGGGCTTCCTTCATCGTGTTTCATTCCTTTATTTGCCTGCTTGTTTTTCTTGTTTTGAGGAGAGAGGATTTTGTGTGTGTGATTTTAATCTTTTGTTCCCTATGTGTAGAGAGATATGTATATATATGCGTGCTTTACCTGTTTAATTTATTTTTTAAATCATGATTTGGTTAATTTACTGTGCATTTTAATGATGTGTATTTGGTTGGATTTTCACATTACTTTTCTTTCGCTTGAACTGTTCCTTTTTTAAAAAATAGATTTTCAAGACTGATTCTCTGTTGCTTTGCCTCTGTTATTTGAGGTAGCTTTTAAGGGTCCTTTAGCACTTTTTGATGGATTCTCTGTTGACTGCCTTGTTCCTGCTTTTTGGAGTAGTTTTTAAGGGTTCTTTAGAGCATTTAGATGAATGCCAGATAGACCACAAATGGGAAAAATGAAGCCTCCCCCCCCCCGAAGCGCCCACACGTCCTCTGCTGTCAAGAGTAAAAAAAAAAGCCTCACTTCGCTCGCGGGCTCTCTCCCAAGACAGTGCCTCTTGCACCCTCCATCCGGAAATGCAGCCTGCCAGCCAGCCCACCTGTCTACCGGCCGGCAGGCTGTGGTTTTGGATGGAGGGTGCAAGAGGCACTGTCTTGGGGGAGAGCCGGTGAGCAAGGTGCACTGCCAGCCCTTTTCCTTGAGCGCCTGAGCTGCCGCTGAGCAATGCCTGAGAGTGAAGCTCAGTCCCCGACTGTCCTTGAAGAGTCCCTCCCACAGCACTGCCAACAGCAGCTGCCACCACCACCTCTTCCAGGGAAGCGGCTCTCTGGCTCTCTTTCTCTCTCGGCACCCCCAGCACCAGCCCGGCCAGCGGCCACTTCAGCACCCGGCAATGCTTCCTCCTCCTCCTCCTCTTCCTCCTGCTTCAGCTGCCTTAGCCCTGGAGGCTGCCTGGGCTCGCCTCGCAAGGTTTGCTCCTCTGTCATGGTGGGGGTAGCTGCTGCTGCTGAGTACGCCTTTTTTTGAGGGGGGCCCTCAGAGGAAGGTTGCTGGACCTCTCTCTCTCTCTCTCTCTGTGTGTGTGTGTGTGTGCATGCATGCATGTGCACCTGAAAACCTCTATGGGGGCCCCCCTGTTCTGTTTAATTTTGCGGGTACTGATGGCGGCTTTTCTCCTTTGGCAAGGCAATTCTGTGAGGGGTTTTAAAAAATGTTTATGTCATGCCCTCCTCCCCCCCCCCAGCTAGGCGGTCGCTGGCACTCCCTCCCTTCTCCGTCCTGCTGGTGGTGGTGGTGGTGGTGGTAGTGAAGAAGGAGCCGGAGGGGGTCGTGGCCACTGAGGAGGGCTCAGGCGCCCTTCCTCCTCCTCAGAGCGCCAGCTGGGCTAAGGAAACTCCTGGGCAGCTTCCTTGGGCTCTTGCTCCACTTGGCGAAAAGTCTGATGCGGCCCAGCCTCACCCAGACTCTACCTCTAGCAGCCCCCAGGTAAATTGAGTTTGAGACCCCTGCTATAAACAAACATGCAGATTTAGCCGGGAGCTAGATTCAATCCAATGTGTGGAATATCACATGTTTTGTATGAATGAGGTCTGGTATTCAGTCTTTAATATCTCTAGTTAAAGAATCATAGGTAATTAAATTGGGACAGGGCTTTGTCAGAGACAGGGTTTTCCCCTTACATTTGGTTCCTTGAGTGAAAAAGAAAATGGTGCCTCCCACCCGCAGCTGTACACAAAAGCCATCTGGAATATCAGCTGAATATTTCTAGCAAGCATGACAAGGCAGTATTTTCCATTCCCGCAGAAGGCAGCAACTAAGCTTAGTGGCTAGAGGACAGAACACATGGCACCTAGTTCTCTGTCCCCTTATTGCCACTTCTCACCATGACACCTGAGGTGGCTGCTTCACTTTCTTAATAAATAGTACAGCTGCCCGTGCCTGAGATCCTGAGGAGTTGCTGTTCATTATCTCAGAGCAAGCTTAGTCTATGCAAAAGCTGAAGGGTCAACTAATCAAGGAGAAGAAAGACCCTATCCTAAAACTTTGCCAGTTGCGGCTTGTAGATCTGTGCGGAGTGATGAAGGAGCCTCTCTCTAACACCATTCATCTTTGTGCTTGTGCCACATCTTGGAATGAAAGGCAGCCGGTCCCTGGTAAAATGGCACTACCTCAGTGTGGCATATTTGTTTTCCCAGTCAACTGAGGAGTAGCAGTTGCTTTCCCAACATCTTGTGAATAATCATGCAAGGCAGCTTCATATAAGAGTTTCTTTCACAAAACGCATTAGTAAAATGGCACTACCTCAGTATAGCATATTTGTTTCCTCAGTATAGCATATTTGTTTGCTATACTGAGGCACTACCTCAGTATAGCATATTTGTGAGGAGTAGCAGTTGCTTTCCCAACATCTTGTGAATAATCATGCAAGGCAGCTTCATGTAAGAGTTTCTTTCACAAAACGCATAGTTTACCTATTCTGAAAGTGATCAAATACAGTGGGGTCTTGACTTGAGAACATAATCCATATTGGAAGGCGGTTCTCAAGTCAAAAAGTCTGTAAGTCAAGTCTCCATTGACCTACAGTGCATTGAAAACCGATTAATCCCGTAACAGGCCGTTTTTGTTCCATTTTGGTTTTTTTCTGGTCTGTAAGTCAAATCTCAGTCTGCAAATCAAACCTAAATTTTGCAGCCAGAGAAGTCTGTAACTCAAAAAGTCTGTAAGTCATGCCATCTGTAAGTCAAGGGTCCACTGTACATATAGTGGTTTCTAGGTTGGAAAAAAAATGCCACATGTTCAGAAGAGTTGTGGTGCTTGCCTCTAAGGCCTATGGCATACATCCCCACCACATGTTCAGTGAAGGTTAACATTCATACACTTTAGTTCACATAAATCTATAATCAAATAGGCCCTGTTGGGATATGTTTGAAACAAATAATGGGTGAGATAAGTAGAAATGTGTGCAAAAAGACCATCACAATGAAGAGTCATATGCTTTCCCCTCCATAGACAGAATGCATGTGATGGGGTATGTGAGAATCTAGATGAGAGTTGTGTAACAAATCTGAGGATGTAAGTGTGTAGCAAATCTAAATGGACTTACCTGGGTATGCCTGTCACACGGAACAATATATTATGGTTGATGCAGAGGTGGATTTGTCATATTAAGTCAACCATAATATGTTGTTCTGTTTGATAAACAGATAAACCCAGGTGGGTCCATTTAGGTTTGTTGCCCAGTTTTACAATTAGATTCTAATTATTGCAAAGAGATGTAGTACAGCTCATTGGGTTGGGTCACATAGCTGTGGAGCCCATGGCCATGATTTCATATTCCCACTGGGCCTCCCAGGGGAGAGAGAACTGAGATCACAAAGGAAGTGTGTGGCTGATAGCCTTATATTTCCTGCTAGCTGTCTAGCCATGGGCAAGCTGCTTGACCCCAGAATGCCATCAGAAGAAGGAACTTTTAAATTGCTTCTTAGTATACCTGGAAAACCCTAGAAGGATCACCCTAAGTCAGAACAGACTCCCCCTGTTGTTTTTGTTTGTTTTGCTGTACTGTTTGTTTTTTAAATTCTTTTAAATATTTTAATAGCTTTTTAAAAATGCCTTTTAGTTTATTTGTTCCACTTTTACTGAATATTATTGTGCTGCTCTTGGGTGCCGAGTGAGTGAAGAAAGCAGGCTACAAATTAAATAACTGTAAAGAAAAATCTATACCATGAGAGTCCATTTTACTTTGGGAAAGGATGTGCATATTTCCCTGTCACATTTGGTCCTGTAACTCTAATGTGGCGTTCAAGTGTTGCCCAAGGGAATAAGAATTTCACAATGCTTCAGCGTGATGGATTGGCCCTATTTAGATATCTGCCACTATGGTCTTCGTTC